CGTGGATCTGGGAACGGGTAGGGACGATAAAGATGCTCTTCAAACATTGGAGGGCCAATACGCCAACCTCTTCCTCTGCAAGTCTATCAACATCGCCGGCAGTTCCGGAGAGAGCAACAGGATTCGGGTCGTTTGCTCCGTCAGTCCCAACTGTCGCGATACTAGTTCTCCGTCTAAGCTGCTTTTCGGTGTCGACCTTTTCCTCCGTTTCGAGCCGTTGGTGTAGCGTTTCGAGGAAGTCGGGGGTTTCGGACCACAAGTTCTCGAGAATGCGAGGCATGATGACATCCATTTGACTGCCCGTTATGGAAGATAGTGCGTCCGCCGTAGAGATGCTACGAATAGCTTCGAGGCCCGCATTCCTCCATCGAACTTTAACTGGGGTAGTGAGAGATTCCTTGCCTGGCGCAGGCTTTGTCGAAGCAAGCTGAACGTACAATCGAACAATTTCTTCGTATTGCCGAAGGTAAGTCTGATCAGCCATGAGGAACGCGGCATCATGATAATCGCAAAAGGCCGCAAATGTGGGAAGAGAGGACTCGATCATGGTGATATCGTCGGAGCGGAGGACGGTGTCGAGGATTTTGAGTACGAAAGGAGCAATCAGGACTGAGTCCTTGTGAAGCTTTTCCATCAAGGCTGACAGAATCTGTAGAGTGACTTGAACATTCCTAGCGGGCGTCACATTAGCAATCATGGATTCCAACTGATCATGACAGGCCCCAAACGCAAGATCGCATTGCAAGAGGGGCCCCAAAGAGGGCGGATCTGACACATCGACGTTTTGAAAGTCGGTGATATGCGACGTACCCAATGCGTAGACGCCAGACATCGCTAGCTGTCTTCTTCTCCAAAAAGGCGCCAATCTTCTGGATCTTGGAGCGACGACTCGTAGCATAGTAGAGGAGGTAGCTAAGCTCGCTACTATTCGGCTTCACATCTACAGCGCCTTTCGTAGTCCGCGGATAGCATTTTAGGACGAGGACCTGGTGTTTCGGCCGACATTTCTGCTGAATTGCATTCATCGCGCTCGCGTTTCTGCTGAGCTCAGCCCAGCCCCGTCAGGTCGAAGGGGAGATTCGGTGAAGTCGAGGGGACGAATACGAGAGGTATAGGAGTTGGTTTGAAGCAATGAGACAAGCAGAGCAATATCGAGAGACCAGAAGCGACGCAGCCGAAGGAAGTCGCGCTGAGTTGACAACCTTTGGTTAAGGTGGTAAGTCAGGGAAGGGAAAGGTCAAGTTTTAGGTGGAAGGGAAGGGGACCAGACTTCGGGACGGGAGATACGGGGGTCCAAGGTACATGCTAGGTACCCCACTTGCTGCCGAACTAAAAATCTCAGCCATCCCAGGGCAGTGGAATTCCCTTTGGGCAGAAAGCGGGAAAAGGAGAAGAAAATCAGCAGCAGGGATTATAAATAGGAACAGGGGGAAATTAGTTGTTCATCGTAATCTGTAACATTAGTTGGGTAGGTATTTAGTGAATAGCTGATGCTTCACCCTCAATCGCATGAATATTCGTACAAGAGACCAGACTTGATATAATGCCTTGATTTCTTGGTGACATACATGCCTGCTTCTTCACAACCAAGTACACGTTGTCCTCCACGTCTGTGCTGTGCCTCTCTGGTTAGGCTGTCCAGGGGTTTTCCGTTTGGTATCGGGTTCAGCGGATGGCTTCTGACTCCGAATTTTGTCTTAGTTTGCGAGCCAAGTATCGTCAAAGTACCTCACTAGAGCCTAGACCACAGTTCCCCTGTCGGATACTGCCTGGACTGACAAGATGCAGCCCACGGAAACTTTCATGCATGTCTTGGTTATTGGCATTGTCTTATTATGCGTGCGTTGTCTTGAGTTAATCTCCAGTTCCGGCTCAATCAATGTTTCTTGTTTACATTGGTAAGTACTCACTGAGAATGGATGGCTTTACTGCAAGGAAACTTCTAGGGATATCCTTAGTATTAATTACTTAGGCCAGTGACAGCTGTGACGCAATTGTCGCCATCACACCCACCATCATGACAAGATCGACATCATCGTCACCACCATTCTTCACCGGAGTACAACCAAACCCCAACTCAGGTCGTCCCAAAACGCTTCTCGTCCAACATGCCATGGTTTTTTTACGGTCAGAATGTTGTAAATTGCCGAGCCTCTGAAGTGGCGTGGCTTATTCTCACAGCCAGAAGGATTCATTGACGTATTTGTGAATACATCAGACTGAGAGACCCGACAGGACTTGACTGCTTCCCACGTAATCCTCTTCATCATGCGCTCACTTGTTCACCGTCATTCAACAAACCAGCAAGCATCGTGAATGGATGTTTCATCCAATCCCAACAGCAGCCGGATGCAAGAGTGCTTCTGAGACCCTGCTAGCATCACCGCTTCCAACAGAATGGTACAGGGTGAGTACTTGGCTGTCAAGATGCTCCTCTGACCAGCCACGTCTCGAAACGTCATAGTAACCATCGTCCGTTTCCCCATTCTGGAAGATCTACAGTATCAAACGCCGTAGCGAAGATCGTCAATATGTTGATCATTTGCATCTGACTACTTTAGCTGTTCTCTTGATCTTGACACGATATTCGCGCAAAGAAGCGCACAATGTCATGGTCAGCTCCAAGTCCACTTGCACACGCATTGTTCATGCAAGTCTCGTACAGTCCTTTTCCTCACCGCATTCTTTTGCTCACCTCCTATGCCACGTTGTCTCTCTTACCCCAACATCTTCACGTTGCTCGCCTTGCACCGTCTCCCGATTTCCATCTAAACCCTCGGTTTAATCTGTTCATCTCGGCCGATTCCGCTTAAGTGGTTGACTCCACATTAGACGTGTCGGCCATCAACTTAACTGCATGACACTTTTCGGGACCGGATGATCCGCATTCGAAACCGGCTGGACTGGGACAATAATGTCCCATGCCCTTAAAAGATTCCCGGCAATTGAACCCCGTCAGCCTTGCATCGTGGCAATTGAACGCCTTTCTGTCGTGTCCGGTGCAGCCGGTCACAGAGGCCTTGTGACTTGCGGGCGTGACAGCGACCGTTCTTGTGACGCAGAAAAGACGAGCCTCAACATTTTCTGTTCTTGCAACATCTGAAGATATTACACGGTAAGGTATTGATAATGCGCAATGTGATGTTTGTATGTAAAGATTTGTTGGGTAACTGAATGTCGCCACCAAATCGCTCAGTTTTCCTTGCTATCCAAGCTGCTAAGAACATCGTCAACAACAGCCTGGATGTCGTAGTAGTACATCCAGTTCGCTTTCTTGCCCTTTGTTCTTCTCACCTTTGCTTCAATTTCCTCGTCTACGGATAGCCCTTCTGCCGCAATCTCCTTACCAATACCTGCATACCAGTCTAGGACATTATATAGATCATGGTAATGCGGCGACCTGATGCGGTCGTACAACTCCAGTGCAGCCTTGATACCTCCACCTCGAGTCCAAGCCCACTCAAGGGTTTTGGACAATGTATACACATCCTCAAGGGCAAATCCGGCTCCCGCTCCAAATGCCCCCGACAAAGGATGTGAAGCATCTCCGATCAGGGCTATAGAATCAAGAGCTACTACTCGATCCAGTCGTGGCCCAGAGAACAGAGCAAATTCTTGAGTTTCCCCCTTTGCTGCTAGTCGAACAACTTGGCGAACGGGCTCACAGAACCCATCGTACTCGTGGACAAGTGTGCTGAAGTCAAATGGTCGACCCCAACTGACGTGGTCTTGACCTTCTGACGACCGAGAGATACGTGCTGTGACTTCAAAGTCGTCGTCTCCAAGTGGACTCGTAAATACGTATCTACCACCTAGATTCTGCCAGAATGTTGATGCTTGGGGGATTGTGCCAAGAGCATTAACTTCAGACTTGCTGATGATGGTGCGATATGCGGACTGTCCATTGTATTTGATTTTGTGCGAAGGAAAAGTAAACGAACGGACCACCTAAATGGTATCAGATTTTTGATCTTCATTCGCAGATTGCTTTACGTACCGATCTTATGCCATCCGCAGCAATCAAGAGGTCAACCTCATCCGTGAAGCCATCCTCAAATCGGATGATCACTCTGCCACTTGGCAGTTTTTCAATGCCCACGAGCTTCTTGGAGAGCTTGATTTTGGTCTCATCGACCTCTTTGAGAAGAGCTGCTTGTAACTTTGCTCTCCTCTGACGGCCACTGCGTTGGTGAATGGGTGTATCTTCTGGATGATAGCTTTGCTCAATAAGCTCACCCGTTCGCCCATTACTGGTACAGTCAGCGTTGAAGTCCCCTGACCACTTACAAAATGACATACCGCTGTTGTCCACTGATACCGTCAGGAGACCTGAACAGGTCACTGGGCTTGATGTTCTTGGATGCCCCGTTCCATTCAAGCATCTTCCATGTATGCAGTTGAAGACTGATACCGCCACCTGTCTCACTGATCTTGGGCTTCTTCTCATACAGAGTCCAGTCAACGAAAGATAACTTGGCAAGGGCAATTGCGGCACCTAAGCCACCTGGGCCTCCACCAATAATGGCAGCTCTGATATTGACATTACCATTGCCATTTGCAGTGTTCTTAACAGTCATAGTGGCGAGTAGACATATGTAGACGAGCAATGAGCTTAAGTTAACGACCAAGGTGACTTTAACAATTGAAAAGAAAGGCAGAGTTTCCTTGCGTTTTATAAGAGAAGATAAGAAGTTACAGTGGTAGTATTCCAGTAAGTACTGATAGTGATGAGGCCATTTCAGATGTATGGCGCAATCAGTTAGACGAATTGGCAATTGATTAAACCCGCAATCGGAGGATTATAGGCCTCCCATCAGTGGTCCGCTTCACTGAAGAATTGGATCTGCTGATTAATAGTAGATACTTCAAGTGGTGATTCCCGACGTATCTTACGACTTCAGTAGTGACGCCAAAGTGGGATGCGAAAGGATGAGACGCTTCGTCAAACATGCATGTATGGTTGCACTGAAAGGACTTCGCTTCCACAACTACGAACCTGATTAATCTCCCAATGCCTCTTGGAGAAGTTGGTTCGCTGTATCCGGATCCCAATCAGCTAGGACTCTCTCTTCTGCGTCATTCATCTTTCTTTCCACGACCATTTCCATAACTCTTTGTGCCTCTTCCCCTAGAAGATGAACCCTTGCCCTCCAAAACTGAGATTCTTGCATGCCCTCATCTCTTGGCCCAAAGAACCTCTCATCCAAGTACTTCCAGAATATTGTATCGAATGCCCAACTCTTTCTCGTAGCATAGGTAAGCCAGAAGCGACCACTCAACCAGCTCTCCCGCATATATGTTGAAAGGTGTGCAGGGAAGTTGATTTCATCTCCCCGTTCCTGATCTTCCATTGCAAGCAGCCAGGTCCTGAGTCTGGCTTCATAGACTTGGGACCAATCATCGATTCCAGACGTCCAAAGCTCTGGAGGCTGTAGCAACAACCACCAAGGTGGATCGAGGCTGAATTGCGTAGGGGCGAAATATGCGAATTCCCAGTCAAGAGCTGCCGCGATATTGTCGTGCTTGTCCAAAAGAACATTATGGGGCCTCAGCTCGTCGCACCAAAGTCGAAAGGAGTCAAATCCATATGGCATTGAGCACGATAATTCCAAAGACTGGGACTGGGCTGACCAGTTATCCTCAAGAAAACCAAAAGGAGATAGATGACCCTTCTTTGCGAGTGAATGAAACAAGTATCGTGAAACATACTTGTTTCGGCATTCGTCCTCTGAGTCAACAATATCGTTATGCTGGAAAAGCAACTGTGTCATGTGCATAGCTGCCGAAGCGGCGTACCATCTATCAGCACTGCGATACACCTGGCTTGATGACGGCAGGACTGTTTCTGGAATAGAAGCCTTGAATACCATGTCGTACATATTCTGGGTGATCGGTCGACCAGCCACTGAAAGCTACCCGATCCTATGCCGGGTTGGCTTGAAGAGCCTGATCAGAAGCCCAGCCATCTTCCAGTAAAGCATCCTCAGATCCTCTTCAGGTATCTCTGGGTCCAGAACTGGCACCTCCTCCAGATCCCGGCCGGGGCCCGAGAGAGCGTCTGACATGCTCCGCTCGCTTTTCACAAATAATAAGATCATAGCCGGTCCGATATATGATGACGGAGCGTGAAAGAAGAGGTAGGGGACTTGTACATCACTCTTTTGAGCGAGGTAAGATATGGTTGTAGCTTCATAGAGAGCCTTTTCTACCCAGAACTCTCCCAAATCGGGTCGTGGTTGCCGAACAGCAATATCAAAGGCATCTCCATCACAGTGCATTCGATAAATAACATTGTGTCTGCCCAAGATGACTGGAGGGACCAAACGTGCAGTCTGATCGCAAACAACCTCAACAAAAGACACAACCTCTTGACAGGTCCTTTGGATGAAAAGCCGTTTTTCTGATTTCTCCCAAGTTTCCCCATCCAGTGTATGTGCAAGATGGTCAAAACGTCGCTGGGCCTCGGTATACGCAATGGAGAAAGCGGTAGAATTAGACATCGCGCAGGTTACTCAAGGGTTTACGAGTGAGAGAAAACATGCAACATTTGGGGGCTGCAGATACAACTGAGTCCCATATGCCTGAGGCAGAAGGAAATGATGTGACACAGACGGGGCTCACACAGTGAACGACTTGAAGAGATTTGCCTCGTCTTATGTCTTATGTACTCACTTGAGCCAGAGTGTGTATTGATTGCCGTCGAAATTTTTGAAAAGAAGTCTCAAAGACAAAAGAAGGGCAGTCCGGTGGGTTAAACTGCCCGTAAGCCTCCCATCCTCTTCCTCATGTGATGATGCGAACCGCTGGGGAAGGCCTGTTGGTTGCTTTCTGCGTCGTTTCAGGTCGTGCTTACACGATAAGACGCCAAAACAGTTCTCGTGAGGTACCTCTCGGACCTTCATTCCTACTCTGTTAATACATTGAGGCCCGAGAATCACTCACGGTGAACATCCAGGGCGCGGTTTTGGTGTGAAGCACAAATGTATCCTCGCTAAACAGGATTTCCTATTCAGTCGTGAATGCGGTAGCACATCCCCCTCAGATAGCTACTCGCAGCAATTTAATCATTCGACAATGATGGCCAGCCACATGAAGCATGCACGTCGGAGCAAGATAAGTCCTATGGCAACAGGCGCTGAGGTTCGTGCTTCTAACCGAGGCCAGCCACCTCGCCCGATAACCAGGTTCCAGACCGGGAGGGTTGCAGCTTAAACCCCCTGGTGATTTACTTGCCACCCGTAGGTTCCGTTCCGTGCGCGGGACGTGTTTATCGGCAGATCATGATATCCTCAAGAACGGCTTGTTGCTTCGATTGTGGAGTGTCGTATCTGTAGAGCAACGCTTTTGGAAATAGGCATGCGAAAAAAAGGAGGCATGCATTGTTGTGCATGCATGGAAATTGGGAGGGGAAGTTTGTGAGACGTTGCGTGACAAGTGCAATGTCACAGTGAGGATTTGCAGAGATCAGCCTTGTTTGGAAATGATAACGAGAACCGACATATATTGATGCGGCGTGGCAATACAACCTTGAAGGTGATCAATAAAACCCGCACCAATGGTCATTTTGCCAATAAGCCTATCAATTATTGACACAAATGTCACGTCCAACGTCCCTGTGATGCAACAACATTCGGGCTTTTTGTGAGTTATCTGCATGTATCCATAATTTGTGAGAAGAGAAAACAAAACTGATTGATTGTGTAACAGTGCAATCAAAATGGGCAAATCACACCGCCTCACTTTCAATTCCCGTCCGTGTCTGCGTCTGCGTCTGCCTCGTCTAGGCAGGAATTCCGATCCCGCTCGCACTGATCATGTTGCGAACCAGCTGACAAGGAGTTATATATCGGGGGGTCGGGTCCAGCAGCTCCCCCCATGCTCGACTTGATCTGGACACCTTTCGATTATCTATCTGTCTCTCTCTCTCTCTCTCTCTCTCTCTCAAGAAACCCCTCTACCACGCAACGCAACGCAACTGAACACTCCCAAGTCAGCATCAAATCAACTCACGCATCACTGCAATATTCAACATGTGCACCCAGACAGAAAATGTGGAAGAGTGCAGTCGATGTGGCTACACAACTGCCGTTCTAGACCCAATTGAGAGCTGCGGTCTGAGAACTCCGGGCTCGTACCTCGACCCAAAGGTCAACTGCTACGTCGGGAGATGCTATGGAGTGTCCTTCACTTCATATGTCGACGCTGTTATTTGCCAGACTTGCATTGCAAAGGAGGAGCGGGACAACATCAGACGGAACAACAAGAAGGCCGTCCATGTCTTTGAGAAGTGACGGGCCTGCACGTGATCGAGCGGACTTTTGTATATTTGTATTGGGATTGGGATTGGAGGATGACACGTCGATGGCATCATTGTAATACGTATGGGCTTGCTGGCCACTGGGATAGGATAGTGGAGGACTGCATTAGCACTTGAAATTTATTATGTAGCACTTGGAGAAAATCGCAAATGAAGGCACTTGAAGGAAATTGACTCAGAGCATTGAAACGAAACACGACAGCGAGGTGAAGCCAATGCTTGACCTGTATAGAGGCATCCATTGATCCAACTGCGTGTCCCTCTGTCTGTCTGTCTGCCTTGTGACACAGCCTCATTCCAGCATAAAGCCTCTGAACCCCGCTTGAAAACAAACACATCACAACCCTTGAAACCAGACACGTCCTTATCAAGAGCCATCAGAATGGAATGGCATGATCCCAATTGCCGTCGAATGGACCCTGTTCCATTTGACAACGACCTCTGGACGTGCCAAGCCTGCGGAACAGTTGGTCCTCTCAGGTTCTTCCCTGACTCGCTTGGCGAATGTGCAACCCCAGAGCCTGCGAGTAATCAAGACACGCAAAAAGAGCCCATTAAGCGCTTATCATGGCCAGAATGTGTCGAATACTCTCAAGAATCATTCAGTCAGGATATTGATAAGGCTTTGTGTCTTGTCAGAGCCAATTACCCAAAAGTGGCCACGGGAGTTACTTATCGAGTGGCAGAAGTGAGCGATGCTTACGGGCGAGAGGTAAGCTCTGATACCTGTAGCAAGTACTGAAATCTCACCGGTTAAATCAGATACTCCCTGTCATTTATCCCAAGTTGACAGAGCGCTCCCATATCCGGCTTCTGGAGCTCTTGCCGGCGCCTCGAGAAAAGGCACTTGATGGCCGATTCCATGTAGTCGACATAGAGCAAATGCCAGCCTATGAAGCTTTATCGTATACATGGGCAGATGAAAACAATGATGCTTCCCTCTGTCAGCGCATTTTTATCGGCCTTGGTAACAGGGCTCTACCCATTACGCGCAATTGTCATCAAGCACTGAGCCGTCTACGCCGCGAAACCGAGTCTTTGCTGATATGGGTGGATGCTATTTGTATCAATCAATCTGACCTTGGTGAAAGGTCTGACCAGGTTGCCATGATGGGCACTATATTCTCGCAGGCAGCGGAAGTACACGGATACGTGGGGGAAGACCATGATAACGTCGAAGGTAGAGAGGACGGGGCAATAACCCTCCTCAAGGATGAGTTCCAGTCTTCCAAACCGACCTCGAGACAGTTCATAGACAACGCCGAGGGGGCCCTCGGAAGACTCCTAAGAAGACCGTTCTTTTCTCGTCTATGGGTGGTACAAGAAGTCCTGCTCGCCCGATCCATCACCATTCACTGCGGCGATTCAACAACGCCAATTTCTAGGGACGTGTTCATTAAAGCAAAGTTACATAAAGCCGAGGTCCCTTGGTGGCTGACAAAAATCGGCTGGATTGGAGCGCAATCAAAGGGCGATTTGCTGGAGCTCCTGTCTGCAACCGCACTTTGCAAGATGAGCGATATGCGAGATAAGATATTCGGCCTACTTGGGTTGTCTGATGGCAATGAAGTCAATGTCCTGAAGGCAAATTACAAGCTGATGGTACGAGAAGTATACATTGGGACTGCACTATACCTCATCCAGCAAAGAAATTGGCACAACGTCATTGAACTTGCCGAGTCGATGACAAACCTCAGACTTCGTTCCAAGTACGGCATCCCTAGTTGGGTTCCCATGTGGGACTTACAAGAGACTGCCTACAGCTCAGTCGACTTGTCGGAGCGATTCGGTGAGATAGAGCTGGGCTGGAAAGTGCGCTGGAATCGTGATCCTATTCTCGCATCCTTGACAGGGAACCCTCCCTCCCAGCAATTCAGAACTATCCCATTCTTGACGAATCATGGCATAGCAGGAAACTTCAGCCCGACGCAAAGCTTCAAAGCTGTAGATCCAGAGACAGGCTGCCTCATAACAACCGGGTATGAGATAGCCGTTCTATATTACGCCAGCTTCATGTCTGGGGATGAAAACGGCACAGTCGACGGCCACTATCGTGAGACTAATTATCATATGCTCAACAACTCTGTTTTCCTTGCCACTAGTGGCCCAATGTCAAAGTTTCGAGATAAACCAGAACGTATGCTGGGCTTGAGCGAAATCCTTTCTTTGGTCAAGATATATGGCTGCAGAATGCCTTTTCTCGCTAACAAGCACGTACGGGACGGAGATAGCGTCACATACGAACTCCTTTATCCATGTGCCTCGGCTATCATCTATCCGATAGGCAAGGACCATCTTTACAGCAACCATCCTGATTTTGACAGAATCTGTACCTTGGAAGTCTTATACCCGCTTACACTGGAGATTATCAAATTTCTTTATCACTGGAGGCGTATGATCAAGCTGAGAAGCGCATCGCATGGTCCCAACGAATTGGATTCCTCTTCGCTGAAAGACGAAGAAATCCGCGCCTGGAACTTCTTTGTCAGACACTCAGTTCTCACTGGTGCAAATGTATCAGGATTTCCGGGAGAAAGACAAGAGTGGAGGCTTGAATTAGAA